AAATAAATAAATAAATATCACCAGAACCTCTGTGTTCAATTCTTATAACTTTTTTGACATGTCAACATATGGCACAATTGATCACTCCCTCCTCTGAAATGTTTTGTTCATTTGCTGTGTATGTAGAATAATGTCCACTGCCAAAGATGTCCATGTCCTAAATCCCTAAAAAATACAGATGTTACCTTAAATGGTGAAAAGGACTTTGTGGATGTCATTAAGGATCTTGAGATGGGAAGAATATTGTGAATCGTCTGGGTGGGCCTGATCTAATAGCATGGGCCCTTAAAAGCAGAGAACCTTTCCTGGCTGAGGTCACAGAATTGTGACGAAGGAGGAAGGGTCCAAAAGATGCAATGTTGCTGGCTTTGAAGGTGGAGAAAGGAGGCCATGAGCCAAGGAATGAGGACAGCCTCTGGAACCTTAGAAAAGGCAAAGAAACAGATTTTCCCATAGAGCCTCCAAGAAGGAACTCAGCTGGCTGACACCTCTCTAGAGGGTATGGGTTTACACCAGGGAGGTTTTGTTGACTTTAGAAGGTGTTCTTGACACCCCTACTTTGTGTTTCCTCCTCCATCCACAAGGTCATAACTGACGGATCTAAAATAGACAGTTCTCCCAATGCTAGCCAGTGGCCAGCAGATTCTCAATTTCAACTGAGGGAGACTCTTGGATGTAAGGAGCCAGTAGAGCCAGTGCATATGTTGGGTCATATGTGAGATGAGTAAACAGAGGACATGGAGGAGGATCGAGTCAGCCCAGGGGAGCAGAGAAGAGACTGGCCTAGGAGTAACAGAGAAATGCCTTGTGTCCAACCGAGTTTGGAGTTCTCTTTCCCATGAGGTCTGTTTGTCTTCGCTTGAAGTCTTTTCAGTCCCTTGAAGTCCTTTCAGTGGTTTCATCCCCTTGCATTACTTCTTGTTTGAAGTAGTTTGAGTCAGTTTCTTAATAACCAACAGAGCCTTGACTTGGGATTATACACATAGCATGTTAAGTACTGTGACTGAAGCTCCTATAGGTAGAGTGATAATACATTTGGCATTTAAGCACCTGCTACGTGCTACACACTGTTTTAGGCACTGAGGATATAGTGGGAAACAAGACCTCCATAGGGCTTAAATTCTAGTGGAGAAGACAAAATAAGCAGGTACACCAATAAATTATGTGTTCAGATCAGTGTTATGAAGATAGGAAGAAAATAAAGCAGGTAAGGGGATGGTGACGGGTTGTATATGGAGTTAGATGGAGTGGTCGGAGAAAGTCTCTGAGGAAGGTGGAGGAACTTGCTGTGTGTAAATGCTGTGTGGAGATGATGGAAGCACTTTCCGAGCAGTGTGTGTGGCAGTATGTGTAAACTTGAAAGAATAAGCTTGGTATGTTCAGCGAACAGCAGTGTGGGTATTATGGTCGGAGTATAGTAAGAAGTGAAGAAAAAAATTAGGCAGGGGCCAAATTGTGTTGATTTGATGAGGCTGGGAAGGTGGTTGGAGTCATATTGAGGAGAGTTATATATCATAGTAAGAAACTTGAAAGTTTATTTACTTTTTATCAATTTGGATGGAGCAAACATCAGACTTGACTGTGTGGTTTATTCAAAATGCCCATGTCCAGGTACCACCCAAGTCATTCTCAATCAGAGTCTCTAGTTGTGAATCTCTGATTTGGGCAATGGGAGTCACTGCAGGTTGGTAAGTGCAGCAGTTACGTGGTTGGATTTATGCTTTAAAAGGTTATCTGAGAAGCTTCTTAAATTGGAGACCTTACATGTTATGTAAACTGAGTGCCTGATTTGTACAATTTATACAATAAATATCAGTCGAATGAATAGGAATTGG